AATTTTTTTTTTTTGTTTTTGTTTTTTAAAGTCATGCTTGGTATCGATTGAAATCTAAATTTTAATCTTTATCAAAATTAAAATATTAATTTTAATAAAATATTTCATGGAATCCATAACTGTTTAACTTTAATCAAAATTTACTAAAAATTTTATTTTAATCTCTACCAAACAGGGGCAAAATCACAATAAATTTGAATTTCGATAACATGTTCATTTTAAAATTCTCCGACGATCGTACGCTAATCGAATCTTCAAATTGTTTATGCTATCTTAAAACTTATTTCGAGAACTATATTATAGGCTATCGAATAGTCTAAACAGATATCAAAAGTAATTAAAAATACATTAAACGTGAGTTTTAAAGAAAGACGTCGAACTCGCATTTTTTTTAAAAAAAATCAATTATTTCATTAACACTTATTANTAAACATCGTCTTAAAGAAAGACGTCTAGCTCTTATTTTTTTTAAAAAAATTCAATTATTTCATTAACATTTATTATTTTTACGATACAAATTTCTCAATATAATTTTCATCATTTTATTAGGACATTTTATATGGAATGTAACATAAAATTTTTTCGAAATTTTACATCCGAAAAAGTTTTATCCCATGTAAATTTTCGGATGCAAAATTACACGGGTATGATTTTTTTGGACGTAAATTTTTTATTGTAAAATTTCTCCCAACTTCTTTATAAGTTCGATTGTGCCCCCTAACTTTAAAGTTTTGCGACCGTCTCTGACACCGGGGAGGCCATATGGAAGTAGAAATGTCTCGAAGAACTCGAGATAAATCAACCTTTGGATATGCCTACTCCCTTGATTAGAATATTGACGATATTTTGGAACTGCTATATAACGAGAAATAAAGATTCGTGATGTTGAAGCCGAACAAGCTCTATTGTGTTATTGATTTACTTATGGTAATGCTAGGGGTTTAAGTCAAATTGTTGTGCCAATTTTCCCTCATGATGTTGAAGCCGAACAAGCTTTATTGTGTTATTGATTTACTTATGGTAATGCTTGAGGTTTAAGTCAAATTGTTGTGCCAATTTTCCCTCTTTAATACTATGAACTTGTCCATGTTGTGTCGACATCACATCGATGTTTAGAATGGTAACTCAATTGAAAGGAAGGTTCGTCACACTACTTCGCCATAAAAAAATTAAGATATTTTAGTTACATCCAAATAAGATTTTATCACTTAAAAATCCATCTTCATCCATACATTTTCCCTCCCTTTAAATATGTTTTTCTCATACTCATATAATGACATGAGCAGAGAGGTTCAACGGGAGAGTTCTCCCTCAATATTCTGCAAGCACCTTTCGACGTTTTTGTAAAGTGTTACTCAAGAACAAATGATAAATTTTATCCATAATATTTGCCATCGCTTCTTCTACATGAAATGTGCGGACTCGCCATCAGTAATAACAATTTGTTTACTTGTGCATGACTAACACATAACACTGTGGTTTGATTCTTGGTTCTTAAACTATAACCACGAGTATTCGAATAAAATCAATTTTTCATATAATTTTCTATCTATAATTTATAAGATGGGTAAAAGAAAATACAAAATCTAAAAACCCTAATTTGAGTAGTAATTAGTCTAAAACTCCAGACTTTAATCCTAAGAAATCAAGACTCGCTTCTACTTTTTTTACGTCTCGCTTCAGATTAGATTATTTCATTCAGGGGCGGACCTAGGAGGGTCCTGGGGGGCACGTACCCCCCAACTTTTGAGTTTATATATATATATATAATCATGTTTGATATCGATTGAAATATAAATTTTAATTTAAATCAAAGTTAACAATTAATTTTAATAACACATTTCATGAAATCCATAACTATTTAACTTTGATCAAAATTTACTAAAAATTGATTTTAATCTCCATCAAATAGAGGCAAAATCACAATAAATTTTAATTTTTCACTTTTTTCTCTCGTCTTTTAACAAAAGATTAATTCTCCATCAAATAAGGGTGAAATATTGTATTTTTAATACTATTTCGAAGTGTTCAAGATCTTAGTTTCTACGTCGTTAATGGCGTACGAAACGATCAATCGTAGCAAATGCTATGACTTGTCAAAGGAAGCCGTTCAAAATTAGTATTTCAAAAATTTCGATAATATGCTAACTTTAAAAATTCTTCAATGATCATACACTAATCGAACCTATAAATTGCTTATGTCATCTCAAAACTTATTTTGAAAACTACATTATATGTATATCAAATAATCCAAACAGATATCGAAAATAGTTAAAAATGCGTTAAACGTGAGTTTTAAAGAATGACGCTTAACTCATATTTTATTTAAAAAAAAATCAATTATTTCGTTATCATTTATTATTTTTTCAATACAAATTTCTCAATATAGTTTTTATCATTTTATTAGAAAATTT